TTTACATTTTTATGTCAAATAATGCTGCAATTTTATTTTAATGAAAGACACATCGGTTCGCTGACTTAAATCAGGGATCGAATCTCAAGATATCGTGCCGTAATAAACACTTTCATCTCAACAAATGGATAGAAAATGATATAAATTATCTTAAAAATGCATTTAAGCTTCATGCTGCATGATAACTTTCCTTTTCCTCTTCCTCCAACACGCAGACATTCAAACCGACGGGCCCGTCACCGTCAAAAGTTGAACATTGCTGAACTTTCCAAAGCGACGGCCGTCAGGTCCGGCGCCGGCGCAGTCAGCTGTTGCCGGCCGTCAAACGCTGCCGGTTCACACATGCCCGTCGACCTGACGGCCGTCGCTCCGTCGGTTTCGGCCGTTTTGACGGTGTCGGGCCCGTCACCGGCAGACCTTACGGGCAAGTGTGAACTGCGTTTAACTGGGACGAGGTCCACTACCATCGGTCCCAGAAACTTGGTAGGAGAGTTGCTCATTGGTCTTGACTACTGAAGCAAAGACAAGTGAATCAGTGACAACTGACAATCCTTTCGTGAGTTCTGATTGAACTGGATCAGGAAGCCAGGACGAGCTAGGAAGTCGATCAGACCTATAGGTAAGTTTAATGATAGTGATTAATTTTTTGTTGTGTAACTACTGAAATGTGGTGATGCGTTGTAATGCCCAGAGGCTGAAATTTGAAAGATCAGTTTATTTCTAACATTCTAGCCTCATTTTCAAATTTACTTTTTTAGGCCTCAAAGGTGATGAGAAAACGACAAAAAAATGGTAGGTACCTACTGTTCCAAGATGACTTGCGAACAATTGGCGACAGCTAGACATCGCGTAGGTGACAGCTTTTGAGCTTTATTCACCTCTGATTCGGTACCTGTGATGACCTCGGGGACATAACGAGGGGTCACAGGTGTCTTTTTCCGGTTCATTGTGTCAATTTTACCTACATCTCGATGTTTGAGAGTGTCTAGAATGGCGTTCGTGCAAAACAGACGCCTTTCATATTTCTCCAATTGACTTATAATAATGAAGAGGCCGCAAAATTGACCTGACCTTAGGTCACCGATGTCAAAATTCCGAGACATACGTTTTATAGATGCTGTTACTCCTATCAATCGCTGAAGTTTCAAGGCAATCGTTCAGTCGGTGTAGCTATGACGAGCATTCTATTTTTTTCTGAGGTGACGTCACTTGGCGTGACCTGGTGACCTGACCTTGAGCGACCTGGGTCTGAAATTTTCACAACATGTGCGGAAAAGATATACGAACAGCGTGTGCCAAAAACGGCGGCGCGGCGTTCCTCGCCGCCGTTTTTTAGATATCTGCGAAAAACCGCAGGAGGGGTGTTCAACCCCCCCGCCCGGCCCGGCGCGGGCTAGCAACGAGGCGGATCACTTGGACGTATCCGGGAGCCGAATACGTTTGTTTTGGAGCCAATACCTGGGAAACTCTATCCGCCCAATGCGATTTTTTAAGAGTCTACGCGCCCAAATTATCGTTGAGCGCGGCTGTTTTCGGTCAGGTTTCCGCGACCTTTTGGCGAAATCGCCTTATTTATTCAACCAGGGTGGACTTATTCGCTTAACCCGCGCCCCGTAAGGCTACCGGCGGACCCTACCACCAGGTGGGGGGGGGGCGTTTCCCCCCTAAGATCTCGGAAATTTACCGGCCGATTTTCAAAATTCAAACGGTGTTCGATAGCCCCACCGGGGAACTACCTAGTGACCAAATTTCATTGACCTAGGTCAAACCGATGACGTCACAGGTCAGGTCAAAGGTCGGATTTTCACCGTTCACAGGCATTTCAAGAAATGTGTTGTGAAATCGAGTAAATTGGTAAGTTATTGAAAACCAACGATGGTACATTGCTCGTCAAACACATACTTCGCTATCTGAGGTCACTGATACCAGTCAGGTCACAGAGGTCAGGTCACTGGGGGGTCACAATATGAAAGTGTCGTGTGATACATGTTTTATGGTCCATTTTACAAGACAAATGCAATTATTTGGGTCAGGCAGCCTTTGGGGACAGCTAAGGTCATGTTTTGGTGAATGTCAGGCCAAGGTCAGGTCATATTACGCCAAATTTCAAAGTTGATATTTTTGCATAAATCGGGTATCGATTCGATGCAGCTCGTCACGGGGAGTCCAATGGTGGTCTTTGTTTTGCCCTACGTGGTCTAGAATTGCCAAAAATTGAGTTTGAAAATTTGACGTCATCATTTTTGAACAGTTTTTTCGCTATAACTTGGCCAAAAAAAACGTGATATCGATCTGAAATTTGGTATGTAGATAGAAGACGGTAGGTACTATCACATTTATTCCGTTTTTTCGAAACTCAAAAACCTTTTGGGATTTTTTGGCTAATATATAAAAAAATGCATTTTTGATTTTTGGGGGTGAAAACTAAAAAAAATTCAAAAATCCAAGATGGCAGTTTTGTAGCCCTGTCAATTCTACACCTTTTATGTATTGATAATTTTTATGTATCTTCAAAGCTGTAGGCCTGACAGCTCTTCTCGTGAGGGTCTTTTTCGGTCGAAAATTGCAGAGCATGACATTTTCTGACGCCATTTGTGGCCAACTTATCATAGCCTCTGGATGTTTTTTGTAACAATGTGTTGAATTGATGCCCGGAAGGGTCCTGAAAGTTTGATGGCGATATCTCCAGCCGTTTAGGAGATATCGACGGAAAAGGACAGGGGGGGGCGTTTCGCCCCCCCCCGTACGGGGCGCGGGTTAAAGGGACCCTCCCACCTTCAAAAAAGTGAATGAATTGGCATAAAAGTGATGTCGCTCGGTTCAGAAAGAGCGAAAACGAATATCTATCAAATTTCACCGAAAAATATTCACCGGTTTTCAAGATATTAGACTTTTACTTTTGTTTATTTTTTGGGATCTCCCCTGTTTCTAGCGACTTTATTTGGAAGCAATGATTTGGCAGCCTTGAAGTGCGGCAGACGTTGCGCGCAAAGCAGCGTATACCACCACGTGTTAACGATGGTTTTAGTCTAAGATTTAAAAATCGTTAGATCTCCGCTGACGTCACAAATTCTAAGGGGGCATTCCAATGCATTAGCCCCTTAGAATCTGAAAACTGCAAGTTTGAAATTCCATATCTCCGAATTAAAGCATTTTTCGATGTTGTGAGTGCCCAAACCGGTATTTGCAGGCCATGGCCAGCAATTTGGCTATCTCAACTCAAAACTAATGTTAAGGTGGGATGGTCCCTTTAACTAGGAATAAGGCGTTGAAGGTATTCAAGGAATAGAGCTGTGCAAAAATAATTTTTGTATCATTACAAATGTATCCACCCTCGAACGATAAATATTGTTGACGCATCAATTCAGAAACATCATGATGGAATGCGTTTGGACTTGGCTGGGACTAATATTAGCAAGTATCTATGTATGTATGTATGTATGTATGTATGTATGTATGTATTGACACCAAAAGCCTTCCACATATGGCGTGGCGATTACGGCTTGCTTTGGCTTGCACAGTATCCACACAAACATACATGCTGCCTGGCGCCTGCCCTTGGATTATTTTATTCCTCACCAGTGTTCGCCACGGGCCGCAAAATCCTAGTCCAGCCCAGCCGAGGCCCATGGGTTCACAGCCCGACCCAGCCCGAACCCATTCATGGTAAAAGCGTCAAAGCCCAGCCCGGCCCACCCCATCAAAAATGAATGGATTAAAAATTATTGACACCACACAGGTATCCACTGGCAACCCCCCATGTGCCTTCTAGGATGGGAAAATGGCATGTGCGGGCGAGGGTTAACCCTCGCCCGTATAGTGGGGGGGGGGTCGAAAGGACCCCCCCCCATGGTTTTTCGCGAATAACTCGCGTAAAAAGCAGCCGATCGCGACACAACTTTCAGTACTAGAGATGTCAATCGGATACCAACTTTTTGGTATACCGATACCAAACCGATACCAACTTGGTATTTGGTCTTTCATTCGTAATGTGTTTGGTATTTTGTTGGTATCATAAACCCTCACTCATGTATAAAGGCTAAGAAATCGGTAAAAAGTTGGTATTTCCCTCATTTTGCCAAGTTGGTCTGGTTTCGGTATTTTCCCGTGGTTTTGGTTGGTATTTGGTTTGGTATCGGTATTCCGATTTTCCGTAATTGACATCACTATTCAGTACCCTCGCGTTTATCAATTTTACACCTACCCTAGAAATTTCACGACCCTGACCCAAATGACCTTTGACCTGTGACCTACTTTTCGAGACCATGTTTGGCCGGAATCGCGATTTGGCGTATGTCGGCTCGCATTAGCCGCGCGTTTGCAGTCTTTTCGTGGTTTCAAGCGTTCAAACATGTGATATGATGTTGCCCCCATGCATTAGGGTGGGTGTCAAGGTCACCTGAAGGTCAGGTCAGGTCATTGACCTTTGATGACCTCGTTTCACTTTTTCGAGTTTTACATGTTTCTAGGCCAGCTTTTGGAGCTGAATTCGAATTTAGCAACCATATGAACATTTTCGAAGTAGTTTAAGTGCCTTCGTAACATGTAACGAAGCTGTCAGAGGTGGTTGACACCTACTAGGAATACCCGGCAGGACCCCTACTGGTTGACCTGACCTGACCTGACCCGACCTGGCCTAAATGCACAAAAACATCATCTGTGATCAAAACTAACATGATATTCGTGATCAGCACCCCGAAAAACCCCATTGCAGCCACACTTTACGACGTTCTACTAGGTCCCGATTTTCCCGACTTTTGGGTCATTGACCTGACCTGCAAGGTCAACCAATGACCTAGGACCTTAAAATTAGGTATCATCGGCTTCCTCTCGTCACGGGCAACACGCTCGTTTTTTCCGCGAAGCTCTAGCTCAATCAGGGGCAAAACGGTAAGGGGGGGGGGGGTCCAACGGACACCCCCCCCCCTTATACGTTCGCGGCTGGAAAAAAAAAAACACCAATACGGGCGAGGGTTAATATAATAAATATTCTAGTTTACCTTGTTTCTTATTAACCTAAGAAGGCCTGCCGTGGTCTCGGGGTAGCTTTTGAAAGCCCCCTTGTCCAGAGTGGTGTCGACTGCGTTCTTCCAATTTGTGAGTTTGACTCGTTCTTCGACGAACGCCAGAGGAAGATCTTCATTGACAGCCTCCTCCAGCGCAGAGCCAAGTTCTTTACCGGCTTTGATGCGGTCGCTGACATCCTTAGAACAGTAAGAAACCAACATTACAATCAATATTGGGATGTGATTAGAAGGTTGGCTGGCACACTCCATTTGGACTTTAGTTTACACAGGCGCGGAACGCTTTAACCCGCGCGGGGCTGGGGAATAAATTTTACCCCCCTCGCGAATTTTTGCAATATCTCAAAAACGGCGGCGCGCAGCGCCGCCAAACTATCAGTACCTTTTCTTACATCAATTTGACACGTTCTCTGAAAATTTGAGCGAAATCCGTCAGGAAATTTTTGAGAAATTGACTTTTTAGTGACGTCATGTTCGCCATTTTCGCCTCAAAAACGGCAAAATTTCAAACGCCGCTAACATCTTCATTTTTAACCCTCGCCGGCCGAGGGGGGGGGGGCGGGTGCCGCCCCCCCATAGGGTTTTTTTCGCGATAGCTCCGAACACGCTGGCGATAGAGAGCTGAAACTTGGCATACCTGACCTTTGATCCAAGCCGGATCTTTTGACCTCAACCGCATTTTTGGGTCAGGTCAGGTCACTGACCTATGACGTCATAAGTGAACCTCTGCACGGTCTTCAGATGTCGCAACTTTGCAACGCCCTCACTGCCAGAGGAGATGTCACAAGGAAATGAAACTTGCAGGACCTAGTATCCATTATGAGTCCCACAACTTGTATATCTCGGATTTTCCCTAAAGGTCATATGAGGTCAGGTCATTTTCGTGACCTCACCATTATAAGACAATGGGGAAAAATGAAAACTGCTATTCTGGCGCCGGGAACGATCTCTTACTATCTCAAGCACACAGAATCGTGATTTGATGCACTCCTTGCAAGGTTAGATGCGTCACTTTTGCAATGTTGACCTTGCGTGACGTCATTTATGACGTCATCAAGGTCACATTAGTTTTTCGTCAATAACTCTTGATCAAATTGAGCTAGCGAGTCGGGAAAGCCACCAATGGACTCAGGAAGGCCTGCCGAATCGAATGATATGCGACATGACCTCTTTCGACCAACTTCGTGACCTGGGGGTATTGACCTGACCTTGACCTGAGGTCAATACCCCAAGTTGACCTGACCCGGACAAATAGTATATCATTCGACGCGCCTGAGCGAGGCGAACACGATGCTGCCAAAGTCGGCGCTCTGCGGCCGTTTTTTGCGAAGTTATTCACCAAAAACTGAACCGTACCTTGGGGCACTTGACCTGACCTCAGAGGTCACCAGTTGACCTAGGACCTTAAAATCGGGTACCAATCTCTGCGTCTCGTAACGGCGCACACGCTCGTTTTTTCCACGACGCGCTAGCTCCACCAGGGGCGAAACGGCGAGGGGGGTCGTACCCGCCCCCCCCCCCCCCTCGGCCGGCGCGTATGTAGAAAACCAATAGGTCCGGCGAGGGTTAAAGGAATCAAGACGTAACAAAAAAGGTTATACGTAATTCTACTTTGTCTATCAAATGGCTATCTCGGTTTTTTGAAAATTTTGGATTTTCGCCCCAATTTTAAAAAACTTACTTTTTTGGGAAAATAATTATAAAATACAAAACTTTGAGTGTATCGAAAAAAACGGACTATATTTCAGAGAAGTGGTCTATGTGCACCTACATACCAATTTTTAGAAGAATCGGTTCAAAAATGTGGGAGTTAATTATAATTTTATGACGTCACGACACACAAATTTTTTGAAAAATGATTCTTTTTGAAGTTCTAGACCTCGTACGGAAACAAAAATAGCACCATTCGATTCGCCGTGAAAAACTGCATCAGATAGACACCTTTTTAGGCCTTAACAACCAACTTCACAATTTGACCTTACTTGACCTGACCTTGACCTGACCTCGACCTGAAATTCATCCAGAGGTGGTCCATATCACTAATTGAGTGTGCCTATTGAATTCTATGAGTAAAATGACCCATAAAACATGTGTCGCACATGCCCTTTTCTATATTTTTTTTTTGGTGACCTGACCTGACCTGACCTGACCTTGACCTTGACCTCTGAATGATATTGTATGCAACGAATATTGTCTTGGTAGCCTAAGAACACGTTTTGGGCAATCAGTCTCAGTCCATGACTCCATTCTTCGGCAACTACGGTGCAAGGCCGATACTGTAGACACTTGCAAATTGTACCCTTGACCTGACCTTGACCTTGACCTCAAACTTTAAATTAAGTACATGTTTTAAGTTGTTCGTGATGAGATCTTTCGATTGGCGTTTGAATTTTCCAAATCGGACCATTACTTCGGAAGATAACAGGGGGGGGTAAAATTTACCCCCCCCCCAGCCCCGCGCGTTCGGCTGGAGACCCCAGCCCCGCGCGGGTTAACATTAGTTTTGAGAGATAGCAAAATTGGTGGCCATGGCCTGAAAATACCGGTTTGGGCACTCACAACATCGGAACATGCTTTAATTCGGAGATATGGAATTTCAGACTTGCAGTTTTCGGATTCTAAGGGGCTAATGCATTGGGATGCCCCCTTAGAATTTGTGACGTCAGCGGAGATCTAACGATTTTTAAATCTTAGACTAAAACCATCGTACACACGTGGTGGTATACACTGCTTTGCGCGCAACGTCTGCCGCACTTCGAGGCTGCCAAAATATTGCTTCCAAATAAGTCGCTAGGAACAGCGGAGATCCCAAAAAGTAAACAAAGTAAAAGCCTAATATCTTGAAAACCAGTGAATATTTTCGTTGAAATTTAGTAGATATTCATTTTTGATCTTTCCGAACCAAGGGACATCACTTTTATGCCAATTCATTAACTTTTTTGAAGGTGGGATGGTCCCTTTAAGTTTGCCCTGTGGTTGATTCGGGCTGCTTATATTTAATCGTAACATAGTTTGCCATTTCGGATAGGATGGGCGACGCCCAGAAGAGAGCAGTGATTCGGTTCATAGTAGGTACTGCAGAAAAGGCACCAAGCGTTATTCACGAAAAGTTAGTGACAGCTGACAAGTAACAACACATGTCAAGGTTTGTCTTTCTTACAGCAGCGTCAAATAGTTAGTGGGCGTCCTGCTCAATTTTGGTCAACAGATCATTGAATGTGACCCCCGCAGTGGTCAGCCATCAACAGCATTGATTCATGCATATATAACATGAATATATCATGTTATCTATGATTCAAGGAAATATGAAAAATGAACACTTTTTGTTGGAAAATGACGAATGTTTCTTGTCTGGAAGCACGCAGTGAAGAAGCAGAGGTGTCTATCGGGTTTCTCAAAGCAATTCATCAGCGTCTTAGTATGTTTAATATCTCTGCAAGATGTACCCCCGTTTGCTGACTCGGCAAAAAAGGCAAGCTCGAAAGTAAGGCTTAGCGCAAAGTTTTTGGCCCCTAATGTCATTGAGCAACTTGTTACCGTTAAGGATTTGTGGGTGTCACACGTTGACCCTAAGGGCGTGACCGAGTTGCGCAAGTGAAAGGACACTGAGTAACGGCCACCAAATAAGTGCAACGAGGTGAAGTTAGTCGGCAAGGTGATAGTGGTTGCATTTTGGGATGCTGACTCGTCAACTTTCTAAAACAGGGGCGCACAATTGATGATGTGTGTCCATTCGATAGACTTCGAGGAGAGGCTATAGTGAAGCAGACATAAGGTGTGCACCTGATCTACGACCACGCATCTGCGTACATGCGCGGGGTGACGACTGACGATCAGTGAAGCGGTGAGCTGTGGCTTAGAGTTGTCGCATCCACTTTTTTTCTTAGAACCCTCCACCCTCTGGTTGCCACCTCTTCCCGAACATAAGGAAATTAGCAGTGGCAACTTCGCTGACAGCAGGGAGACGAAAACAGCCGTCTTGGACGTACAGGATGTGTCCAAGACCCACTTACTTATGGAGACTTGAGTGCTCTCGCGAAGCGCTGCGCGAAATGTGTTTGTCTTAACGGTGGTTATTTGAATAAATGAACTTTTTGGTCTAATAAGTCGATGCTGTATCTCTCTGCTCCTTCATGGTCGGGTCCGTTACTTTCTGAACGCCCCTCGTACTGTCATTTTTTATTTTGGCAAGCAGGTCTTTCTAACTATCGTGGTGTTTCGAGACCTCGTTAGTTGTCAAACCCTTCAATTGGCGTGGGTCTTCAAAGCATTTCCTAGCCCCTCAGCCGCCTTTTTTGATCGGCTGGGGCCTTCAAAGCCGTTCATGGCCCATTTCAGAACAGCCGTCCTTTTAACCCGGCACCGCCTGGGCTATTTCCGTACCCACGACAGCCTGGGGGGGGGGGTCGGATCCGACCCCCCCCCCCTGTTATCTCGAGAACCAATGGTCGTATCGAGCCCCGCGAGGCGGTGTTCGAAAGGTCTCTACGAGGCCTTCCCAAAGCACTCTTAAGATTTTAAGATTGAGGTCAACTTTCGGGTCAAGGTCAGGTCAAAGGTCAAATTCAGGGGTTTTGCATGATTAGGCTTACGGACAGCGGAATCGATAGTTGCTGCTCGAAACTCACCACAAATGACCTCAAAGACCTAGTGAAGGTACCATGTGCGTATAGGGGTCATACTAAGTACGGGTCAAGGTCAGGTCAGGTCACGAAAGGTCACGGTTTTCACTTTCTGCTACATGGGCGTGCGACACATGTTTTATGGCTTATTTTTCACGCCAAATCCGATGGTAATGGTTATATGTGACCCCAAGTCACAGTGCTGGTGATAAGTGTGCATTGAAAGCATAAAAAAATCGTTTATACCATACATAACTAAACGAGGGCTAAGAAAAAAGTCAATTTTTCAACTTTTTATTTTTGACATAAAAATGCACTTTTCTAGACGAGCTTTGTCCCAGGAATCTAGTGGTGCCATTTGTGTTCACATGCGATGTTCAGAAGTGCCTCTAATTCGCGAAAATGCTTATGACGTCACCGTGCCCTATGCATGTTGGAGCTATTTTTTAGAATTTGGGGGTCAAAAATCAAGATAGAAAGTTGAAATTTGGGACATCTAATGTTCTAATAGAGCTCTATAACATATATTCCGGTTTTTTGAAATTCTCAAAATTTTGGATTTAATTAGCTGTTTTCCAAAAAAATATAGTTTTTTTGAATTTTTAGGGGTGAAAAACGCATTTTATGGAAAATCCGTGATAGCCATTTTAAAGAACTCGTTGAGCTGCGTCTTTTCATGTCCTCAATTTGCAATTTGCTTAAAACCTCGATTTTTGGCGATTTTTTAAACATTTACCATTTTTTGACTGAAAACGCCATGTAGTTACATCACTAAAATCGATATATCTCAAAAATTTTTGAAAAACTTTTCTTAAAAGTTGCACAGGAGACGTCAAATTGATGGGGGAGAAGGTATGCCAAGTTTCAAGTTGATAGCGCAAGTGGTTCATGAGTTATTCAAGAAAAACGGAGGGGGGGGGTCGGATCCGACCCCCTCCCCCCAGGCGGTTGCGGGTTAAGTCGGCGTGGGCCTCTTTCAGAATGGTGTGCATTCCTCCGACACTTTTGCCTATATAACTGCACGTTTTGTGCATGGGGCTCAGTGAGTACCTAGACATCCAAAGATTTTTTTATTTAGATTTTGGTTTGTCTTGTCAATGACCAGGGCGAAAAAATAATTGGCCGAAATCCGATGAGAAAGGCAGATTTGGGGGTACCCTACCTTGTAAGCCCCGCCACATATGGCCGGCCGCCGCCTTTGGGCCCTACCAATCATTTTTGGAAAACGACACCCCTTTGGGAGGGTCCCTTTAAGGTGGGATGGTCACTTGATCTCGCGACGGGCTGGTGCTCCGCGACTTCCGCGCCGGGCCGGGGGAGATGTCTGAACACCCTCCCCCCCTCTAACTCGGCTCCTAGGCCACGTAGCGACACGCAGTAAACGGCATTAGAGAAACGTCAAAAACCATGACGAAAATATCTCGGTCATTTTTTAGGTCAGGTCAAAGGTCAGGTCACCAGAGGCCATCAAAGTCAAATTTTGTTATTTCAATATTTTTCGAAACTGCCAACGGACAACTCGGGAACCAATAGAGTTACAGCGCCGCAGAAAAGAGCATTCCATAGGTCTTTTACTGGTCTTTCTGTATAGTGCTCTCATATTTGGCCTCAGGTCAACGGTGTAGCCTCCAGAGGGCAAAAACTCCAAAAAAAACCGCTTTTTAGGAAAATGTTTTCCTCAATAACTTTTGACTCAAGAGAGACACGACATTGCTTTTGTCAGCATCGTGTTTCTCTCGTCGAGACGCATCGAATGAACTATAATTTGACCTTAAACAGTCAGCTTGAAAATTTGACCTCAGGTCAAGGTCATGACCTGACCGGTAAGGGTCATGTTGCTTATCAGTCGATCCGTATCGTCGAGCTGAACACATCTAAGGCGTTTTCATCGCTCTAGAATGCCTCTATCAAAAGTGATTCGCGAAAAACTGTGAGCTTCAATTCGTGACCTGAGATGACCTCAGGGACATAAAGAAGGGTCATGGGTTCCATTTTTATGTTCAGTGTGTCAAAGTTACTTGTAATTAAGTGTTTGAGAGTGCTTAGAATGACTTTAGTTCCAAAAGAAACGGTTCTGAAGTTTATCCCATTGATTTCTAATGGGGAGGTTATAGAATTGACCTGACTTTAGGTCACCGATATAAAAATTCCGAGATATAAATTGTGTACATACTGTACAGCGATCGGTCACTCGGTGTAGCTATGGCATACATTGAAACATTTTATGAAGTGCGGTCACTTGAAGTGACCTGGTGACCTGACCTTGCATGACTTTGGTCTGAAATTTTTACAACATGTGTAGAATTGATGTTTGATGAGGTGTGCAAAAACGGCATTCGCGAAAAACCGGAGGGGGAGCGTAAAAACACCCTCCCCAGCAGGGCGCGGGTTAATGGCTCAATTTTTAGCAAAGTTAAAAACTACTCAAAATTACCTAAGTCAAATTTTCGAACTCAACTTTTATATTCTAAACCACCTAGCGTAAAACAAAGGCTACCACTGGATTCCCCGTGACCTCTGATGTCATGTCAAGTGGCCCAAGGTACGGTTCCATTTTTGGTGAATAACTTCGCGAAAAACGGCCGCAGAGCCACGATTTTGCCAGCATCGTATTCGACTCGCTCAGACGCGTCGAATGATATATTTTTGTTTGGATGAGGTCAACGTAGGGCGTTGACCTCGGATCACGATCAGGTCAGCTCCCCCAGGTCACGAAATTGGTCGAATAAAGTACATGCCGCATATCATTCGATTCTGCAGGTCTTCCTGAGTCCATTGGAGGCTTTCCCGACTCGCTAGCTCATTTTGATCGGGAGTTATTGACGAAAACCTAATATGACCCTAATGACGTCATATATGACTTCACGCAAGGTCAACATTGCAAAAGTGATGCATGGAACCTTGCAGGTAGTGCCTGAAATCATGATTATGTGTGCTTGAGTTTGTTGGAGATAGTTCCCGGCGCAAGAATAACAGTTTTCATTTTTTCCCCATTGACTTAGGTATAATGATGATTGATGAAGTCACGAAAATGACCTGACCTCATATGACCTTAACCCTCGCGGGCCCGGGGGGGGGGCGTTTTTCGCCCCCCCTGGCGAATATTTGCGATAACTCCCGAACGCTTAGGGATAGGAAGGCGAAACTTTCAGTACCTTTTCTCCCATCAATTTGACATCTTCTGAAGTAAAAAATTTGGACCTAGCCCCCTTGATGACGTCACAAGGTCCATTTTTTTAGACCCCTGCACGGCAAACTTCGGCGTCACAGACGCAAACTTCAAATAGCTGCTAAAAATAGAGTTTTAGAGATAAAGACAAATTACGAGCACGGCTGTGTAGCGTTTGACCTAGAGAAAAATATAAAAATAGTTTTGGTGACCTGAGGTCAGAGGTCAGGTCAACGACCCCGAAATGTGGTTTTAGTTTTTCGCAAATAACTTCGACAAAAATGGTCCTAGAGCTAGGGCAAAGGTACCATCGCATTCGCCTTGTCAAGCCGCGTCGAATGATATATATTTTGTTCGGAAAAGGTCAAGTTTCATGTTGACCTCATGTGACCTCGAATGACCTCTGGTTGACCTTGACACATGAAAGGTCGTTTATGATGGATTTGTACCCGCTGATCACGAATCTGGCATCTATTTTCCTCTAAGCCTTCATTTAGAGCTTCCGGATGGCAAAATTGTCTTATTTATTATTACTAACTTAATAAGTGAAATAGCCTCTAGCAGGGATACTCTTGTGTGACCTTGACCTTTGAGCAGCCTTGTATCGTAAGATGAACCACAAATAGGGAACTGATAAGCCTCAAAACATTTCAAAACATCTTGGAAGTTAGCACGCAAGATGTGCAAAAAAGTGCCAAGTTTGAGGTCAATTTTGAGCGTGACCTTGACCTTGACCTTTAATTTAGAGCACATTTTCAGAATCCTCAGATTCTCTTCTTTCGTTTGACACCCAATTTTGCCGGTTTGATGCAGCCTGCCGTCCTCTAGAAGGCTTACTTTGAGATCACTACACATGTGCCGGTTTTGGCCTTTGACCTTGACCTCTGACCTTGAAAATTGACCTGAGGTCAAAAATTTTAGGTGCATTAGAATCGTCTCGTAAGGACCTTTCGTTTGGTATCGCTTTTGTTTCCGTAGCTCTCTTATTTACGGAGTTAGACAGGGGGGGCGAAAAACGCCCCCCCCCCGGGCTGCGGTGGTTGGGATTACCCCCCGGGCCCGGCCGGGTTAAGCGAAAATCCGAGATATACAAGTTGTGAGACTCCCAATGGATACTAGACCAGGTCCTGCAACTTCCATTTCCCTGTGACAGCTCCTCTGGCATTGAGGGCTTTGCGAAATTGCGACATCTGAAGACCGTGCAGAGGTTCACTTATGACGTCATAGGTCAGTGACCTGACCTAACTCGAAAATGCGGTTGATGTCAGAAGATCCGGCTTGCATCAAAAGTTAGGTAGGCCAAGTTTCAGCTCTCTATCACCAGCGTGTTCGGAGCTATCACGAAAAAAAACCCTATGGGTGGGCGGCACCCCCCCCCCCCTCCTCGGCCGGCGAGGGTTATGTGTCAAATTCTCAATATTACTTTACTACTCAAATGCTAACCTGAAAAAACTCCTTCGTTTTCTCTGTTGTCCACAAAGCCGGATGGTTGACCACGTACGTACTCGATGGCCTTTCTGTTGGATCTATCTGTAGCATTTCTTCTATCAGATGCCTTGTCGCTACGCTCACTGATTTGGGATCTTCAATGTTCGCGAGGCTGAAAATGCAAGGATTAGAACACAAATGTTAGAAATGTTATGAAAAGATTAGCAGCACTGGATTAAGTTTAGCTATAGAGAACACTTCTAAAATCAAAAAGCATTTTTCGCATTTGATTCCACCTTATATGTACCTATTGACGAAACCAGCAGCTGGTAAATTTACTCAAAAATTCATTTGCCAACACTGATAGGTATCATTATACAATCAATACATGTTACTAAACGCTGTAATTATAACACGCGTACCGACGGGGTCTGCGGCAACTTCGTACCGACGGGGGGCGGATGACCGCCCCCCCCCCTGAGATCTCGAGAACGAAGCAAGATAGCGACAAGCGGTAAACGGCATCGGATACGCACGGACAAGGTCTACAATTTTTACAAAGGTCATTTTCAGGTCAGGTCAAAGATGACGTCACAGGGGTCAAAAAAGTCAAAATGGCGGCGCTAGGTATGGAGAGAGTTTTTCTCGAATAACTTTCGAACTAGTCAATATAGGAACAAACTAAGGGCAGCATCGTGATCCTCTCGTCAATCCGCATCGAATGATATATATGTTGACCTCGAAAGGTCAAGGTCAAAGGTTGACCTCAGGTCACGTGACCTCGAGGTCATCATGTATATCATTCAATGCGTCTTGACGAGCTGAACACAATGAGACCATCCGCGCGGCTGTATCTTGTTCCTGTACGGAGTTATTGGCAAAAAAACCGCTGGTGACCTTTGATGACGTCACATGACCTTACAGCTGCCCAACAGCAAACAGACCTCAAGGTAGTGAAGGTTGATCGTATATGAAGTCATGTACACTGTAAAAAAAGTTTAGCACCATAGAGGTACTTTTCATTTGACTAATTTTCAGTACCCTAGCGGTGCTAAGCTAAGCATTTTATTAGTACTTAACTGAGATCTAGTTTAGTATCGAGGTGCTAATATAAGTACTCATATTTGTTTAGCACCCGTGTACTAATTGTAGTACCCTACACCTGCTAGACCAATTTTCAGTACCCTAGCGGTGCTAAATTTTAAAAGGTGCTAAGAATAGCATGCAGTTAGTACCTTCCGTACTCACATATGAACCGTTTTAGCGCTATTGTTACCCCACGACAAGAAGAATAATGCTAACGAAAGCAATGGGGCTGAAAGTAGAATATCGTTACTAGTTAAAGCTGCTGCATGAAAAGTTCGCAAAAACTGCTTTCTTTAGCAGCATATACTTTCACTAGTTACTGCAAAAAGGACTCAACAATTACCAAAAAGGAAATTGTAAAAAGCCGAAAAGGCGTGCAAAACACGGTTATATCCTAGATCAGTGATAACTACAGTCTCAATAATTGTGTTTTACATTCTGCAACATTCCCGTTTAAGTGCATCTTTCAAGCATCCAAAACATTCTAAAAAAGAAAAATAATAATAGAACATTTATTAACACTTCATATCATCTGCATGAAAAACAAGTGTAAATATACACACAAAACAAACGCACGGGAAAGAACAAAAGGTCGCTCATTTCCTGCTCACTCGCAGTATGAGTGACCGACGATTAACGCGAGATCGACTGGGGGAGGCGGGGGGGGGGGGGGTCGCTGAACCGACGTTCCGTTCATGGCCATGAGTTCGACCCCATCCACGACCAGACGGCGTTTAGTGATAGACGGTACCGGAGACCCCGTGTTGTTGTCGTAGTTGTCCTCCATTGATAAGTGACAGTCGACGGAAGAACTGACCAGGTCCCATGTCTGGAGCAAAAAAAACTGGATCAGTTCCAATTTTTTTTTTTAGTTATTTTCACAAACAACACAACTTTCCTTTCAGACAAGAAGCGCGATTTGCCAAAGTCGGAATATGAAGCACTTAAACAATATAAGATAATGTCGAAAGATATAATGTGTCAGACTCACCAATGTCGATCAACGTCGGTGTCGGTGGCATGTGTCGGTGGCAAATGCTCATGTACCACCCGGCCCCGGAGCACTTCACTTCACTTCACTTCACTGCACTGCTGCACTGCTGCACTGCTGCACTGCACTTCCCTCTACCTCACTGCATCCCGGAGCAGGGGCATGCACTCCCATGCCACGCACAACGGATTCCACCGATAATAGCTGATTTAAGCTATCATTCCAGAGCTATCACTCGGTGGCATGTGCCCGGAGCACTTCACTTCACTTCATTTCACTTCATCCCGGAGCACGTGCACACACTCCCACCACGCGACCAACGGACTGCACTAAAATGGCGCAACACCTGGCCGGAAACAGCTGGCACGCGCATGCGCATATCGCTCTGCGCCGTCAAAACGTGCTAGGGTTCTAATTAGAAATCCAGCTTGAAAAAGCACTCACTGATGGACTGGGTACTAGCAGAAGTAGACGTTAAGCTCAGTAGAAGAATAGGTGATCTAAACTTATAATATTTCATGGGAATGCTAGCTATCATTAGCACAGTATTAGCACCATGCTTCTTTGTAAATACGTCGTAGGGTTCTTTTGACGCTAAAAGGTGCTACGAATAGCAGCCGTTAGTACCCCAAATGCTAAACTTTTTTTACAGTGTATGGTATATGGGGCCATTCCGACCCGTTTTAGTGGTAAAAACAGGGAGTTGATTTTCCCCATTTGTTTTATAATGGGGAGGTCGCGAAATTGACCTGACCTTAGGTCACCGACATCAAAATTCCGAGATAAACAAATTGTAGCTACTAATGACCTAATAACATCCTGCGACTTTCAAAGGCCTCCGATATCTACTGTAGCTCTGGCACGGTGACAAAGTTGCAAAAAAGTGACTTGAGGTTGGGTCATTCAAAGTGACTTGGTGACCTGACCTTAAAAGTTAGGAGGTTCAAACTTGCACACCATGTGTAAAATTGATAAGAGAATAGTCGTACCAAACTTCGCGACGCTACGCGCCGCGGTTTTCCCGCTATCCGCGAAAAACCTTAGGGGCGGATATCCGCCCCCCCCGTCGGTGCGCGTGATAATACCTTGTTAAATGTTACATGTTACTAAACGGTAGTGCTATTCCTTCTGACATTGGAATCTTAGCCCTAGCCCGTATTGGTGTTTTTCCAGCCACGAACGTATAAGGGGGGGGGGGGGTCCGTTGGACCCCCCTTGCCGTTTCGCCCCAGCTAGAGCTTCGCGGAAAAAACGAGCGTTTTGCCCGTGACGAGAGGAAGCCGATGATACCCAATTTAAAGGTCCTAGGTCATCGGTTGACCTTCCAGGTCAGGTCAATGACCCAAAAGTCAGGAAAATCGGGACCTGTTAGAACGTCGTAAAACGTGGCTGCTATGGGTTTTTTCGGGGTGCTAATTGCGAATGTCATGTCAGTGATGATCAAACATGACGTCTGAATGCATTTAGGCCAGGACGGGTCAGGTCAGGTCAGGTCAACCAGCAAGGATTTTGCCGGGTATTCGTAGCAGGTGTCAACCGCCTCTGACAACTTCGTAACATGTTACGAAGGCACCAAAAACTACTTCGTAAATTGTCAAATGGTAGCTAAATTCGAATGCAGCTCCAAAAACTAGCCTAGAAACATGTAAATCTCGAAAAAGCGAACCGAGGTCATCAAAGGTCAATAACCTGACCTGACCTTCCGGTAACCTTGACATCCACCCTAATGCATTGGAGCAGCATCATATCCCATGTTTGAACGCTTGAAACCACGAAAAGACTGCAAACGCAACGCGCGGCTAATGCGAGCCGACAAACGCCGAATCGCGATTCCGGCCAAACATGGTCTCGAAATGTAGGTCACAGGTCATAGGTCATTAGGGTCAGGGTCATGAAATTCTTAGGGTAGGTGTACAATTGATTAACTCGAGGGTACTGAAAGTGTCGTTGCGATCGGCCGCTTTTTACGCGAGTTATTCGCGAAAAACCGAGGGGGGGGGTCCGTTTGACCCCCCCCCCCCACCCTTTACGGGCGAGGGTTAGAATGTGTTAGTCACGGGAGCAACTAGGAAAAATATATGTGAAGTGGGTTATGTATCACCTAACAATTGTCACTCTTCGCGGAGTGGCTATGATACAGCATCGCAGGGCCAAACGCTTGAAGGGATAGCAAAAAAGGAACATAAAAACAATGAACAAGAAAAAAATCCGCACCGCACACCCGTGCCGCGAACAGCGCCAACGCAAACAACGCGAAAATAAGAAAGAAACAATAACGAAAAAGGCAGCACCGCCCACCTCTCACGACGCCACTGAAAACTTTACGTAAAAAAGAAAGCACAAATTAAAAAATGACGCACACAAATTAAAAAGAAAAGAATTAAAAAGAGAAGAAAAGCGCTTTAACTGCATGCGTACGCATCCCACCACCAAAAAAGAAAAGAAGGCCAACGCCATAGCAGACAATTTTCATGCTCGTTTTCAGAACGCCAACAAACCGTACGTATGTACAGCAGACAGATCCGGTCCTGTACCGTCTGGATGACGATACCAGAGTTCACGACGAGCGGCTCTCCAAGTGGACACCGTCAAGGAGCCGTCGTGGGCGGAGGCGGGCGGTGCGCCTCGCGTGATCAGCGGGGACAATGAGACGCCGTGTCTGATGGATCGTGACGTTCACCGTCAAGTGCCGTCGACATCACTACGGGACTGATTTTGATTCGGGTGATGAAGTGGACGCGTCATACGAACTCCTAGAGTGTGCGTTGCCGCAATCACTTTCAGCGACCACTGCATTGGAACGACGGTCGCCGACCGTTGCGGGAGACGTAGTGTCACGCATTACCCAGTCGGGTGGTTATTATTGTGAGGAGGAAGGCGTTTCACGACATATCAAATTGGGTAACTATTTCTATGTCAATATGATGATCACATTGACATAGAAAGAATTTCACCAAGTTCAAAAATGAAGCGCTGCCTCGAGAAAAGCGCCAGGGTATCCACTCCAGCCCGGTCTCGCCTATTTCAAGGTTTGCGACGCTACGTGCCGTGGATTTTCCTCCTAAAAATGGATAATAAGCCCCAAGTCCGGCAGAAATGAGCACCAGAGCAAATGCTAAAACAACTTTTGTATGGATGCCCCTGTTGAAGGACACGGTATGCTGCTCAAATTTTAACTAGCCCGTGCACAGCGTCGAATTTCTGCCAAAAATAAAAAAACTGCATTGCTTATTTATTAAGATATATGTAGGTTTAGTTTGCTATTTAGTACTTAATGTTTCATAGCTAAACACGTAATAGCTTATCGCATAATTTAGTTTGTTTTAATTTTCTAGCCTGGTAAGTGGTAAATCACCAAAGCCATTCGCGGATGTATAAGCAAAACCCCTCTTAAGAGGAAGACGTATACTCACCACGGTTTTCCCTGTTGGATGTTTGCCATCCTGTCGGACAGATCGCCGAAAGGATGCTTTCCGGAGAAGATGATGAAGTGGAAGACACATCCGAGCGAAAAGATGTCAGCTGTCTTCTCCTAGAAAAAATGTTTTTGCCAGATATTAGTGCAAAACGGTAAAGATCACGATGACCGACTATGAATGAGGTACTTTAGAACATTCATTGAGAACAAGAAATATACATGCACAGGGAATAGATTAGTGGATTGTCTAAAAGAAGCATGCTGATGACACTGAAGAAACAAAGCATATGATTTCACCATCAAGAAACCGCATCATGATCATCAGCATCAGCATAGAGCCAATCAAGATAAATACGTTGTCTTCGGTTCGCTCTGTTTTACAGTTTTGTTTACAAAAGTTCAATTGCCGTGGTCCTGGAATAAATGAAAGGGCCATAATCTCAAAAAACAAACAAACAAACAAACAAACAAACAAACAAACAAACAAACAAACAAACAAACAAACAAACAAACAAACAAACAAACAAAAAACGGTACTCAATGATTTTTGGTGGAAACGATTAGGATGAACTTGTCAAACGTTACCGAAAATAGCCAAGACCATCGAGAGCAAACCTCTGGGCTCTGAAAACAGCTATGTTGCACATTTTGAAAGAAATGCGCCTCCCGTAAGAAGCTGTAGTGCAAGTCAAACACAGGTTTATTTCTCGGGATAGAAGCTCCGAGGCTGAGTGACCAGCCGTGTCAAGGCTTGTTTCTGACCGGCCAAAAAAAAAAAAAAAACATGACCTGTCACCACAGGACCGAATGCTGAATAGGAATAGAAATAGCCGAATCGTGGCACTTTGCAATTTGATCAGAAAATACGGATTTTAAAAATAGAGGATTTGGGCAAAGGACTTAGGTATATTGAAATATATGATTTGTGCAAAGGATACTAGTACGAATAATGGTACGTACTTACCTACCTGGTTAACACGCGCACCGACGGGAGGGGGCGGATATCCGCCCCCCTGAGGTTTTTCGCGAATAGCGGGAAAACCGCGGCGCTACGAAATTTGGTACGACTATTCTCTCATTAATTTTACACATGGTGTGCAAGTTTGAACCTCCTATCTTTTAACCCGCGCACCGACGGGGGGGCGGATATCCGCCCCCCCCCCCTGAGGTTTTTTGCGGATAGCGGGAAAACCGCTGCGCGTAGCGCCGCGAAATTTAGTACGACTATTCTCTCATCAATTTTGCACATGGTGTGCAAGTTTTAATCTCCTAACTTTCAAGGTCAGGTCACCAGGTCACTTTGAAGGACCCAACCTCAAGTCACTTTTTTGCAACTTTGTCACCGTGCCAGAGCTACAGTAGATGTCGGAGGCCTTTGAAAGTCGCAGGATGTTATTAGGTCATTAGTAGCTACAATTTATTTATCTCGGAATTTTGATGTCGGTGACCTAAGGTCAGGTCAATTTCGCGACCTCCCCATTGGGGGAGGTCAATGGGGGAAAAATCAACTCCCTGTTTTTACCACTAAAACGGGTCGGAATGGCCCCATATACCATACATGACTTCATATACGATCAACCTTCACTACCTTGAGGTCTGTTTTGCTGTTGGGCAGCTGTAAGGTCATGTGAGGTCATCAAAGGTCACCGGCGGTTTTTTGCCAATAACTCCGTACAGAAACAAGATACAGCCGCGCGGATGGTCTCATTGTGTTCAGCTCGTCAAGACGCATCGAATGATATACATGATGACCTCGAGGTCACGTGACCTGAGGTCAACCTTTGACCTTGACCTTTCGAGGTCAACATATATATCATTCGATGCGGATTGACAAGAGGATCACGATGGTGCCCTTAGTTTGTTCCTATCTTGACTAATTCGAAAGTTATTCGAGAAAAACTCTCTCCATTTCTAGCGCCGCCATTTTAACTTTTTCGACCCCTGTGACGTCATCTTTGACCTGACCTGAAAATGACCTTTTTAAAAATTGTAGACCTTGTCCGTGCGTATCCGATGCCGTTTACCGCTTATCGCTATCTTGCTTCGTTCTCGAGATCTCAGGGGGGGGGGCGGTCATCCGCCCCCCCCCCGTCGGTGCAAAGTTGGCGCAGACCCCCGTCGGTGCGCGGGTTAAGGTCAGGTCACCAGGTCACTTTGAATGACCCAACCTCAAGTCACTTTTTTGCAACTTTGTCACCGTGCCAGAGCTACAGTAGATGTTGGAGGCCTTTGAAAGTCGCAGGATGTTATGAGGTCATTAGTAGCTACAATTTGTATATCTCGGAATTTTGATATCGATGGCCTAAGGTCAGGTCAATTTCTCGACCTCCCCATTATAAGTCAATGGGGGAAAAATCAACTCCCTGTTTTCAGTGGCGGTCGCAGGGGGGGGGGGGCCATCAGGGCCATGCCCCCCCCAAAGGCAAATCAGGGGGGGCCATCATATCATTTGGCCCCCCCCAAACAACCGATGGGCCCCCATGGGCGTATTGGGCCCTGGCCCGTATTCGATTGTCACGAGGCTCGCGAAACCCACGCCAGCTATTAACAGCTCCCATACCGGTCTTTGAGGGTCCTACACTCACCTCTGAGGGCCCTTCAGTGGCGGTCAAGCGCCCACATTAACCGCTGAGGACCCACGTTGACCTCTGACGGCCCTCCACTGGCCTTTAAGGGCCCCTAAACCGGTCTCAGGGGCCCAACCGGCGGCTGAGGGCCTCACACAGGCTCTGGTGGCCTCATTTCTGTCTCAAGACTAGCCTTTAATTGCCTCTGAGGGCCCCGCACTGGATTCTGAAGACCCGATGTCGGCCACTAAGAGCCCGGATCGACCTCTGAGGGCCCCTCTTGGTCTTTGAGGGCCCTCCGCTGGTCTCTTGGGTCCAACGCCGGCCTATGCCGGTCTTTTAGGGCCCCACACTGACCTCTAAGGGCCCCATGCTAGCCTATAAGGACCCACATTAGCCTCTGAGGCCCCCCGCACTGGATTCTGAAGACCCAATGCCAGCCTCCAAGGGCCCGCATCGGCCTCTGAGGGCCCATCTTGGCCTTTGAGGGCCCTCCGCTGGCCTCTGGGGTCCAACGCCGGCCCATGCCGGTCTTTTAGGGCCCACACTGACCTCTGAGGGCCCCATGCTGGCCTGTAAGGACATACATTAGCCTCTATGGGCCCCGCACTGAATTCTGAAGACCTGATACCGGCCTCTAAGGGCCCGCATCGGCGTCTGAGGGCCCATCTTGGCCTTTGAGGGCCCTCTGCTGGCCTCTGGGGTCCAACGCCGGCCCATGCCAGTCTTTCCGGGCCCCATTCTGACCTCTGAGGGCCCCATGCTGGGCTGTAAGGGCACACATTAGCCTCTGAGGGCCCCGCACTGGATTCTGAACACCCGATGCCGGCCTCTTAGGGCCCGCATCACCTTTGAGGGCCCATCTTTGGCCTTTGAGGCTGGCCTCTGGGGTCCAACGCCGACCCAAGCTGGTCTTTAAGGGCCCCACGGCGGCCACGCTAACCTCTGAGGGCCCCATGCTGGCCTGTAAGGACCCACATTAGCATCTGAGTGCCCAAGTCGGTCTCTGATGGTTTCAAACTGCCCTTTGCAGGCCCTGTACTGGTCTCTGAGGGCCCTAAACTGGCCTCTATATGCCCCCAACTGGCCTATGAGGTCTCTACACCGGCCACTGATGGCCGTATTTTGTTCTATGGGGGCCCAAGACTTACCTTTGGGCGTCACGCATTTGCCTCTGAGGGCCCACATCAGCCTCTGGGGCCCCATCTGGGGCCTTTGAGGCCCTTCGCTGACCCTTGGGTCCAACGCCGGCCTCTGGGGGTCTGACACTGTACTCTAAGGGCCACATTGCAGCCTCTATGCGATAGGTATCGCCGAAGCGTTATCCATAGGCCTATTAGTGTAGGAGCCACGGGTGCAGTGGGTGAAGTTGCACCAACAATAATTCTCCAGTGGGTGCAGACAATGTATTCTCTACCCACAATAATCAGGAATAAAACCCATTTTCTCATCAACACTACTTTCGATGCAGCACGACAAATTCAGGATATTTTGCCCACTAGGTACTATCCATCTTTCGATGCATTTGCTACTGTGATGGTCTTCAAAACTTACATGTGTGCTCAAGTGAAAAATAAGAAACGGAACACATGTGATTGAACACATACCGATGACCCACTGTCAAAAGTTTTAGCACGATATCTTCAAAATGGCTAAGTTAGCCGGTTTTACTTTTTGCGGTAGTCAATTCACAGTTGCGTGAATTATTGACATTACCAATGCTTCCAAATGAACTTACCTTTTCGACATAGTACGTCATGGCTGGATTTCTGCACTCATGCACTACGCCCGTGGGCCCCTTTAAGCTAGCACCGGGCCCCCCGGGTCAGTGCAGGGGCCCCTTTGCCAAGTTGCCCCCCCCCCAACGCCAAGTCTGCGACCGCCCCTGCCTGTTTTTACCACTAAAACGGGTCGGAATGGCCCCATAAACCATACATGACCTCATATACGATCAACCTTCACTACCTTGAGGTCTGTTTTGCTGTTGGGCAGCTGTAAGGTCATGTGACGTCATCAAAGGTCACCAGCGGTTTTTTGACAATAACTCCGTACAGGAACAAGATACAGCCGCGCGGATGGTCTCATTGTGTTCAGCTCGTCAAGGCGCATCGATTGATATACATGATGACCTCGAGGTCACGTGACCTGAGGTCAACCTTTGACCTTGACCTTTCGAGGTCAACATATATATCATTCGATGCGGATTGACGAGAGGATCACGATGCTGCCCTTAGTTTGTTCCTATATTAACTAGTTCGAAAGTTATTCGAGAAAAACTCTCTCCATACCTAGCGCCGCCATTTTGACTTTTTTGACCCCTGTGACGTCATCTTTGACCTGACCTGAAAATGACCTTTGTAAAAATTGTAGACCTTGTCCGTGCGTATTCCTTGCCGTTTACCGCTTGTCGCTATCTTGCTTCGTTCTCGAGATCTCAGGGGGGGGGCGGTCATCCGCCCCCCCCCCCGTCGGTACGAAGTTGGCGCAGACCCCCGTCGGTGCGCGGGTTAATTTCAAAACATTATCTACCATTTCCGCCAACGGAAAATGACATCTATTGGGAAGTCGTAAGCCGGTATTTTCCCATCTGTTCTCACTTCTCATGGAGGCTTAGAATGTATGTACTTACGGTTCCCTGTTGATATCCACCCGTATGGGCTTCCGGAGCCATCCAATCCAGGGTACCGATGCCAGCGGTCATTTGTATTTTGGTAGCTGTCATCTCCTTGGATATGCCAAAATCGGCCAGCTTTGTCACGATCTCGCCTTTTTTGCTTTTCACCAGCATCAGGTTGGACGGCTTGATGTCACGATGAACTGCAAAGGCGCATATATGATTGGTTTTATTCTTGACTTGCACATATATGTAGGTGTATGTATGTACATTTTACACATATTCGATTAACCATACACAACGCTCACACTGAAAAAAATAGCGGCAACGTTACGTGCAATATATCCAACGACCGAATCAGAGACTCTTTGTGTTGTTTACTATGGTAAGAGTTAAAGTTTAGATAAGTGTTCTTGTGGTGCTTCATTTTACACCGCTGTTGTCATCTGTTTCGTCTTCCAGATCCCGACTCCCCGCTTTTACATCCATGAATGGCTAAACATCATTTTTCCTCCTCTCTAACATGAAAGCAACCCAAGTGCTGCCTGACTGTCCAGCGCGTTTGCGAAGGCTGTTCAGCATGTGTCCCTTCTTCAATACAAAAGTATCATCGATGTATAAACGCCAAACCTTAACGCGCGCCCCAGTGGCAGTCTCAGCCAACTTCACCCTAGTGGGGGGGGGGGGGCATATGTTACCACCCACCTCTAACTCAAAAACTAAGAGGGCTAGAAAGACGCGGTAAAAAGCAGTCGATAGCTCTCAATGCGCACGTTTGAAAGTATTTAGTCATTTTTCATCTTAGAGCAATATTGGGGTCACCAGAGGTCATCAAAGGTCAAAATTTGCCAATGGTCATTATATTTTTCAGAAAACATGCCGTTATCTCAAAAAACTATGGTAGCTAGGAAAACGCATGATAAAGCAATCGATAGCTCTTGAACTCTTCTTTTGAAAAGGTTATTATCAATATTGGCCTCAGGTCACGGGTTTAGCCTCCAGAGGGCAAAAACTCCAAAGTGGCTGTTTTTACGAAAAGTGTTTTTCGACAATAACATTCGACTACAAAAAGCCACGACATTTCTATTGCCAGAATCGTGTTCCTCTCGCCGAGACGCGTCGAATGAACTATAATTTGACTTTGAAAGGTCAACTTGAAAATTTGACCTCAGGTCAAGGTCATCACCTGACCGGAAAAGGTCATGTTGCATATCAGTCGATGCGTCTCGGCAAGACAAACACAATAAGACCATCCCCAGCGTTCTATCTCTTTCCAATTGCGAGTTATTGGCAAAAATATGTTTGTAGCCTCAAATGACCTCGGATGGCCTTTCTAGAGGCTATCAGCAAAAATGACACCATGGTCATCACGGGTGGTCCAAATCATTGTGATTCTGAAATATTTGGACTGCTCCTATGCGTACACACGGATCTAGAGGCATTTTCATTATTTTTCTCCATTGACTTGTAATGGAAAGGTCACGCCGCTGACCTGACCTTAGGTCACTGATATAAAAAAATCCGAGATATACAAATTGTAGGCGCCCATAACATGATGCAATCCACCAAGTTTAAAACCTTTCTGACAAACACTGCAGGCTGGACATGATTGCAAACTTCTTTCTAGGCTTGGTCAGTTAACTTGACCTGGTGACCTGACCTGACATGACCTGGGGTCAAAATTTCACACATTGTCCGAAATTGATGTACCAAAAGCTACTCAAAGCGGCGCGGCGCTACGCGCCGCGGTTTTTTATTTACACGCAAAAAACGCGACAGGGTGGTAACATATGCCCCCCCCCCCACTGGGGCGAAGGTTGACCCGCGACGGCCCGGTGCTCCGCGACTTCCGCGCCGGGCCGGGGGGTGTCTGAACACCCCCTTCTAACTCGGCTCCTGGGCCACGTAGCGACACGCGGTAAGCGGCATTCGAAAGAACGGCAAAAAGAACGGAGAGAACGGAAAAATCAGGTCGAAAACTCTGGTCAATTTTTAGGTCAGGTCAAAGGTCAGGTCACCAGAGGTCACCAAAGGTAAAATGTTGGCTATTTCAACATTTTGGAAACTGCCAACGGCTAACTCGGGAACCGATAGAGCTACAGCGCCGAGGAAAAGCGCATTCGATAGCTCTTTTAACGCTCTTTCGTTATTATGCCCTCATATTTGACCTTAGGTCAATGGTTTAGCCTCCAGAGGGAAAACCTAAAAAATAGCCGTTTTACGAAAAGTGTTTTTCGGCAATAACTTTTGACTCTAAAGTGCCACGGCATTTCTTTTGCTAGCATCGTGTTCCTCTCGTCGAGACGAGTCGAATGAATTATAATTTGACCTTGAATGGTCACCTTGAAAATTTGACCTCAGGTCAAGGTCATGACCTGACCGGAAAAGGTCATGTTGCATACCAGCCGATCCGCAACGTCGAGCCGAACACATCTAAGGCGTTTTCATCGCTCTAGCATGCCTCTATCAGAAGTTATTAGCGAGAAAAACTGTCAAAAACTATTCGTGACCTGAGATGACCTTCGGGGACATAACGAGGGGTCACAAATGCCATTTTCCGGTTTAGTGTGTCAATTTGACAAGCATCTCGATGTTTGAGAGTGTCTAGAATGGCGTTCGTGCAAAACAGACGCTTTTCAGTTTTCTCTCATTGACTACCTAATAATGGAGAGGCCGCAAAATTGACCTGACCTTAGGTCACAGATATCAAAATTCCGAGATAAACTTTTTATAGATATTGTTACTCCTATCAATCGCTGAAAGTTTCAAGGCAATCGTTCAGTCGGTGTAGCTAGGACGAGGAGTCCTATTTTTTCGTAGGTGAGGTCAATTGGAGTGACCTGGTGATCTGACCTTGGGCGACCTGGGTCTGAAATTTTCACATGTGTGGAAAAGATGCACAAACAGGTATACCAAAAACGGCCATTTTTCAGATATCTGCGAAAAACTGCAGGGGGTGTTCAAACACCCCCCCCCCCACCGGCCCGGGGCGGGTTAAGCCGAGCCGTGCCGGGGGATGTTTTGCCGCCCCCCTCCTCATTTTTTTCGCGATTATCTAAAAAACAACTGTTCATACAAAATTCCAGCACATGTTGTAAAAATTTCAGACCCCCCGGTCTTTCAAGGTCAGGTCACCAGGTCACGTGACCTTACCTTAGAAAAAGTTTGAAGGCTCGCTGTAGATACTCAGACTGAATAATCGCTTTGAAACTGTCAGCAATTGTTCAGAGTAACAGTAAGCATAAAATGTTTATCTAGGAATTTTGATGCCTATGTCCTAAGGGCAGGTCAATTTTCCGACCTCTACATTATAAGTCAATGGGAGAAAACTGAATTGCGCCTCTTTTGGATGAATGTCGTTCTAAAAAAGAAAACTCCAAACATCAGTTTGTAGGTAAACATGACACACTGAAATGCAAAATTGTACCCGTCGTCCCTCTGTGCTTCTGAGGTCACCTAAGGTCATAAAAGGTCATCAGCAGTTTTTTACTACCTATATATTTTTTTTATAGAGACGTGCTAGAGCGTTGAAAATATGTCAGATGGGTTCTGCTCGACGATACAGATTGACTGACATGCAGCATGACCCTTCTCCGTCAGGTCATGACCTTGCCCTGAGGTCAAATTTTAAAAATGACCTTTCAAGGTCAACTTATAATTCATTCGACGCATTTCGACTCACCTGGTATACTCACCTGGTTGGGTTCCCAGTGTCATTTAGGAAGTCAGGAAGGAAGTGAGAAGTGGGTATGAGGAACAGGAACCCTGAATCCTAGACGCACCAGCCAGAGTTGAGTTCTTGTCTGGGGAAGATTATGAAGTACGAAGGCTGGAGTTGAGCGTCTTCCAAGGTGACACGCATGAATACAAGGCACTTAAACACAAAGTAACGAACACAAGAGTACGGTACGGTAAACAGCAACATAGTCATAAAAAGACAAACGATAAGCAGCATATAGGTAGAAGAGTTTTTACACAGGTCAACCGGGAAGCAAGATTCAAAAAAAAAATTACACAAAGTCAAATAGTCTGTCGTGCAAGTGCAGATGGAGCATTTCCTTGAACTTTGCTAGGTTTGGGGCTGAGACAGCCTCCAGAGGCAGAGCATTCCAAGCAGGCATGCATCGCACTAAGAAGAAACGCTTCCTAGTGTCAGGGCCTGGTGAAAACGGGAAATATTTTGTGTGTGTGTCCTCGTGTTCGTGTTTGCGGAGGTCGACTAAACACATCAATGGGCTCTATACAGGATTTTCCATTAAATATCTTCCAGCAGTGGATTAAGTCTGAGCGAAGGAGCCTGCCCTGTACTGAATACAAGTTAAGTGACCGTAATCTGTCAGAGTAGCTCTTGTTAGCAAGCCCATCAACTCGTTTAGTCCACCTACGCTGTACATTCTCTAGGAGACGCAAGTCTTCGATATAGCCCATGTTCCAGATACACGAACAGTATTCCATCAAGGGTCGAATGTGTGTGGTTAAAAGAAACATCATGAAGTCAGGTGAGCGACAGACCGTAGATTTTAGCAAGCTCTGGGCAAGGCCACCTGCCTTCTGAACAATTGTGTGCACATGTTCGTGAAATCTCAGGCGACAGTCAACAGTCACACCAAGATCAACATGACTCTTAGAGAAAGGGATTTGCTGGCCATCAAGGAAGTATCCCGGTAGGTCTATGTTAGGACTAGAGCCATTAAACCTTAAAGCAACACACTTCTTTGAGTTCATCTTTAGTCCCCATGATGCTGCCGTTGAGTGTAGAGTGTCAATGTCTTTCTGGATCTGCTGTGTAGCAAGGGATGGAGAGGAGGAGGATGGATCATAGGGCACACAGGCATAAAGTTTAATGTCATCAGCGAATATTTTAGTCACTTTTCAGTTGGGAGGCAACACTATTCACATACACAAGGAACAAGAGGGGTCCCAGAACACTTCCCTGAGGTACACCACTACTAACTGCACGGGGTTTGCTGAGACAGTCCTTCACCCAGACCTGCATCAACCTACCCAGTAGGAAGGAGGATAACCAGTCAAGCAGACAACCCTGCAGTCCCAGTGATCGCAGTTTTACGAGCATGATCTCATGGTTAACTACATCAAAGGCCTTCCTAAAGTCAAAAAATATTATATCTACGACATGTCTAGCATCCACCATCTTTGAGACTGTGTTATACACTAATAATAGTTGGACCATTGTTGACCTGCC